CTTCAGAATTCTTCAGGAGAAAGAGAACTGAAAGGAATGTATGAGGCTCTTTGTATTTATGTCCATCCTGTTACACTTAAGTATCAATCTTAAAACCCAAAATAATACATCCTTGAGAAAAAGTAAAGGAAGTAAATACAAATACCTGGCAACATGGGAAAACCAGAAAGGCATAAAAGCATACACCGTGTTCAAACTGATTGTTTCTACCTCCTTTGGCAATCAGCTACTGCACCTGCCAACACCTAATGGTGTAGAGAAACTTTCATTCAGAGAAACCTTAAGGGTTGTCCTTCTAGAGCTCACTTGACTCTAGCATTAGACAAATTAATCAAGACTCTATTGAGGATTCACTATTTCAATGCAAATCTGCTCAAGTGAGCTGAGAAATACCTATGCTAACCATTTTAAGATTTTTTTTTATTTCACTTTAATTGAATCAGAGCTAGAATACGGACTTGTTTGAAGAGTTACTACCTCCAGTTTTGTAGTTTTGTACAGGACATTTAGAAAATAAAAGGAAAAAAAGAAAAAAGAGAAGAATGGAGAAGAATCAGAAAGTGTTGTAATTTCACCAGTGGTACTGCTGCAATGTACCATGCAATTTAGTGATGTCTGGACCATTACTGTTCCTACAATTTTTTAATTTGGCAGACTATTTTACAATATTTTAAAATGTCTTCCAGAAAGGCCACCCTGAATAAGACTCAAGACAGATGAATTATAAAGAGCTGTCTACATTTCCATGGTTTTGCTATTTGTATTAGCATGTGGCATTAATGGTAAAAATACAAATAGTTACAAGCAACTAAACTAGGCAATAGGATAAACTTCCAAAAGAAATCACTGCAGAATTTCCTAAACAGTATACAAAGTTTCCATCACTGAGACACAAAATATTTCTCATTTGCCCACAATAGGCCCACAGAAACTCTAACATAGTAATAACAATTTGCTGTACATTTCTGAAGACCAAAAACATAACAAGAAAAAACTTTGACATTGAATTTAAAAAGCAAAGCACGGAGCAACACACTAACTGAATCATGAGAATTCTTTTTGGTTCAGCAAACTCTTGGACTTTGGTCACTTTTGGTCAGCAAACAGTTTGACAAGTCAAAACATTTGTTAAGCTCCACAGAGCATCCCAAACTTACATCTCACTTAGGACCTTCAACACCTTAACACCCTTTTTCCTAAGGGTTTCAATTAACATAAAGCAGGAAATAATGGATAGATTGTAATACAAGAAATCAGATGACACACTACACAACTGTAAAGAGCATAAACAACCACACTGGACAGTAGCTGAGGTCAGAAATTAGAGAGACCAAATTTTTATATAGATAAAAGCATCACATTTAAACAGAATCCACAGTGTAAAAAAATGAGATGTTATATCACAGCACAGCTGGGTAGCTGAGAGACATCACAGAATGGATGGGCGATCCCACTTCAAGCACTGGAAGCACTGAGGTGAAGTTCACTGTTCACAACAAAAGAATTTCAGTAGTAAAACATGACCTGTTTAGTTGATGAATTTTCTCTGCTCTTTAGGTTAACTAGAGAGCTAATGGAGATCCTCACCCAGATAAAAGCACATTCTAAAGTAGTCTTTACAACAGAGATGAGATAAAAAGTGGAAATTCTTGCAAAATAACAGGCACAACTTCTTTTTAAAAGTGATACAGTGAACTAAAAAAAGTTGTAATAACACAAAATTACATTTGGATAAGTACATCAGGTCACCTTGAATGAATACCAAAAAAGCCCCAAATAAATCTGAAGAAAGTTGAAACACCAAAAATCAATGAAAGAACTACAGCAAGAGGCACTAACTAGAAGGTCCAAAGGATGAGTGAAAGGAGTTAAAAACATGGCAATGCATTTGCACATGTAAGGAAACCACATGGTTAAAAGAGCAAAATGAGAAAAAAAAAAAACATCTCCTGGGATCTTGCAGAGAAAAGCAGAGGAGGTCAGAAGATTCTCAGTCACCACTGTAGAGATTAAAGAAAATTTACCAAAGCAATGTTAAGAGTTCTTTGTCATCATAGAGACTGAAGGCAACACGACCTCAGAACTGAGATAGGACTATGGGGTTTTTAATATAAAATACAGTTCTTTGTAGATACAAACAATGCTTTAGGTTGGAAATGTGTGGTTTGTACGGTGCCTAGCCTAATGGAGAACTCTCCCACTTAACATCAGAGATGCAAAGAAAACAATTATTGCACAACTTATCTTCAATAAAAATCACGTTTAAGTAAGTCTTCACTTACATACTGTAAGACACAATGTACCCACAGAGCAGCACAATGATTGCTGCCTTATGATCTGGGATAGGTAAGCAGAGGTTACAAAGTAATCCATCATTTTTCAGCCATTTGTATTTCAAAAGTTAGCTGGGCTGCTGATCCTCAGTCTTGCTGGAAGGCTTCTCCACAGGCACCTGCCAATGTCCAAGACATTTCCACATTTCACATCTCATGAAATCTGAGGGAGTTGATACATGACCAGGTATTATGCATTTGTTTCTGTAACAAAACTGTCCTTCATCTAATGATGCTTCAAGTAACAATGAAGCAAGTATCTGTTACTTTGTCCAGTCTTTAAAACTGATACTCTTCAATTTGAGAGGCCACATCTTTAGTATGGATTCTGCAAGCTAGTAATAAGCAGCCAAACTTTCCAGTAAAGACAGATAATAACAAACACATTTTTCCCTCTCTAAGTATCCCCAAACTGTTGAATTTTTCCCTGGTTTTCACTTCTGTACTCTAAATAAAATCATTGGCATAGTCATACGAGTCTGTAAATGTAATTTTCAAAGAATAAGTAGCACTACAAAGCTAAAACAAAGTGATTTTTTTAAAATTAGGACTGATTTGAGAGCTTCTAGTACATGAATTCTGAAAGTAAAAGCTAAAGTTCTATTTCTAAAAGATGTTTAGTTCCACTTTTGACAATACAGTGTACCTGAAAACACCTACATAAACTACAGTTAGAACTTAATCTTTTTGTAGTTTATTGTAAATATTTTCTGCTAGAGAGACCTAAAAACAGATTACTGATGCTGGCATTGTCTTGAGTGCACAGATTTTGAAATAAGCTGTTAGCCTCAGTGGCTTGAGCTGTGAGCAGGGCCCTGGCAAGAAGCCACATCCTCTTTTAAGAACTGCTGTGAAAGTGAATATTTCTATCAAGCAAAAAGTGCCTCAGGTTTGAGGTTTTCATACTTCTCAGTCTCAATTACTTGCTGTCTCAAAATCATTTCCTCATCTGACTCTCACATCCCTTGACTGTGGAAAGCTGACTGGCTGCTGTGAGCACTCTGCTCCTCCAGCTGTTCCTTTATTCACACAGGAGTTACCACTCCTCACCTCTCCCTGCAGCTGCAACTATGAAAACAGCATCAGCTTCACACTGTAATTGCCATGGCTGTCTAAGGGATTCTAACTGGGAGTGTTGCACACAAAAAATTAAAGAGGTTACATGCCAGTAGAGTGCCTAACACATTACCCATACTATTTCATCCCCCCAAAGACTTCTTTTAATATAAAGAGAGAAATTTTTACTCAGACTACAAATAAAAACCCATAGAATGCTTTCTTTATTCAGTCAGAGATAGTTTAGCAATAAATTTATTTTTCAGATATTGACAAACATGTAAAGTGATATTTAAAATATTAACTACCATATTCAGTATTCAAAATTACAAAGGGGATGTAGGTTTTCAAGGCATTAAAATTGAAAATCTGTATTTAGCATGCTTAATACTGGGTGATCATGACCAGTCCAAGCAAAAACTGTAATTTACATAGACTACAGAGTATAGGCCAGCAACAGAAAAAAGGATTTTAAAATAAAATTTAAAAAAAACACTTCTATAAACATTGCAATAATATTTCTAAACTCTTTTAAGCTTAAGTATATTTGAAATCTTTCCCTCTTAATTCATTATGTGATAGGCAAACTAATCCTATATGGCTCAGCCTTTAATGAACATTGTTCTCACTACGATTGCTACATTCAAAGAGAGACAACAGATATTATTTCTGTGTCCTCACCACATTTTATCACTGGAGCTCTGTGCCCACCAAACTGGAATCCAAAGAAGCCACGACACGTAAACACTCGGTGTGTGGTAAAAGCCCTCCTTTCTCCCGTACAGTGCGCATGGCTGCGGGTGACTCCAGCAGTACAGACACTTTTCTGCCCTCTCAGGCGCGTACTGCTATGCTGGGAAACGGCAATGAACACAAAACTTTCCCTACATAAAGTGTCCGCACACAGCGGTCTGTCAGCAGTCTGATCTGTCAAGGGGTTCCTTATTGGTGGGGTGGGGGATCACTGCCTCAAAAAAAACCCTGCCTGCATTTTTCTGAGACTCTTCCTCCTAGCCTCGATAGTTACAGAAACCATCAGCTTAAGTGCTCCACCTACAACAGCTCTATCTAATAATTTTGACCTAACCAGGTCAGTCTGAGGAGATATTCCAAATCACAATTTGGATACGAGAGGATGAAAGACTTAGGGCATCCCGGTTCCACCTCATCTCCGGGAGGAAGCGGTCCCGGGGGTACCCACGGATGCTGCGGCCTGCCCGTGCTCATCTCACCCCTTCTAGGGAGCTTCCGAGGGGAGTCCCCGCCACCCGGGCCCGACAACTTTCTCCTCCACGTGAACTGCCGGGATAGGGGACGGCGGGAACGCGAGGGACACATCACGGCCACCGACCCTGCGTCTCCCTCCCCAGCTCCCACAGCGCGGGAGGAACCAGAGGGGCCGGCAGGAGGGAAGGGAAGGGAAGGGAAGGGAAGGGAAGGGAAGGGAAGGGAAGCAGAGGCAGGGAGAAGGCGCAGCATCCCATCACTTTGCCTGGCGGCTGCCCCGCATCGCAGGAAGGGCCCTTCCCTCCCTCCGGCTGCGGCCGCCGCTGGAGCCCCCGCCCCTTCCCCGCAGAGCTGCTGCCTCGCTCTCGTAGCAGCGCCGCTCACCTCTCTTGGAGCCGGGGCTGGGGCTGCCGCCGGTGGCCCTGGAGCTCTTGCGGGAAGCCATCGCACCTCCCGTCGGGCAGCGCAGGGGGCGGAGCGGGAGCGCGTCGGGAGCCGCCGCCGCAACCCGAGCCCTGCGTGCAGCGGGAACGCGCTTAGGCCCCAGCGGCGCGACCCCGAGTGCTCCGCGGCCCCGCCCCCGCGCCCGCCACCAGCCATTCGCGTCAGAGAGGAGTGGCGCCGCTCGCTTCGGATTGGCGGAGGCGCCGCGAGGGGGCGGGGCGGCAGCCCGCCGGTTGCGCGCGCCCGCCGCGCTCTCCCGCCGCTGCCGGCCCATTTGAACGTGGCACAGGCGGGCGCGAGCGGCGGCCTCTCGCGAGGGTTCGGGCGCGCGCGCTCCGCCGGGAGCGGAGGCGCCCCCGGCGCTGAGTGAGGCAGGCTGGTGGGGGGAGGCTCGGGGTGACATTTACATGGCGACACTGCCTAAAGCATCCCGCCCTGTGCCCTAAACCGCGCTCCGCATCCAGTTAAGCGCCCAGGTTGTGGGAACACTTCGTTGATGTGTATAAATGTCTAACGGTGCCAGGATGGAGCCAGGCTCTTTTCAACGGTGCCAAATAATAGGACAAGAGGCAATGGGCAGAAACTGATGCACAGGAAGCTCCACCTGAACATGAGGAAGAATTTCTTGATTGTGTGGGTGACCAGGTACTGGAACAGGTTGCCCAGAGAGGCTGTGGAGTCTCTGTCACTGGAGACATTCCAGAACCATCCGGACACAATGCTGTGCCGTGTTCTCTGGGCTGACCCTGCTGGAGCAGGAGGTTGGACCCGATGCCCTGCTCTGGTCCTGTCCAACCTGACCCGTTCTGTGCCAGATTCCACAGAGCAGCGGGGCAAACCTTCCAGAGGGTGCCTTTGCAACCAACGGAGTGAAAGGGTTTGAAGTTCATCGCCTAAGATGATGAGGTCCCCACCAAGGCTTTTTGAGGCTTTAAAAATATTTTTAATTGACTCTGATAAAATAAACCTGGGGTTTTGCAGGAGTTCTGGATGCCTCTTGGTACCGATATTCAGTTTGAGACTGGGATAAATACCCAGTTTGGCATGACTCTAAAAGTCTGAAAGAAAAAAGCAAAACCCAGCTTTGAGTCCTGACCATAAATACAGTGTTTTGAGTCAAAACAAACAATTTTGCAAATTTGAGAGCTTTGCAAGTGGATGTGTGGAGAAGGAAGCATTTACTCAAATCAAAGGCTAGCACTGTGTTTTGGATAGTAGTGCCATGAAGCCAACCAGAAACTAATTTACTGGAGAGCATTAATCAGTATTTTTAAATGGGATTTGCACTTAGATACTTAGTCAAGTAACAGGATATCACTGTAGGAACACTGAGATCACTTTAGACATTACAAGTAAAAGCAACTAGTTTTAGGAACTAAACAAAAAGAGTGAAGCCTACTCTCATGGGAGTTATTTTGCATTTAGTGCAGTTGGGTATCTGAACTTGGTTATGACACTCTACCAGAGTCTTATTTTCACAGGATGTGTTAGTACTTAATATTTTTTGAGATGCTTCCCTTTTGTTTGGTGAGACTAAAGCTGCTGGACAAGTTTAAGAGCTGCTAGGGAGGAGTAGGTGTACTCATGACTACATAGAATTTATCACAGACAAGCTAACAGGATGAATTATTAACATTTCAGCAAATTGGAAAATACAATGCAAGGAAGAAATTGTCCTAAGAAAAGCACAAAAAAAATTGTAATCTGGTACTGGGATTACTGAAAATACAGTAATTAGTAGATAAGTGTGTGTGTGTGACTATATTCTTGCAAGTAGCAATTACTGTCAATTGAGACAACAGCTGTTTGTGGTTAATGTGGGACACAGTTTCCTGAAGATACACTACTGGAAATGGCACTTTGGTAAGAAAAAAGATACTGAGAACGTTGAAGCCACTGGACAGGCAGGGACACTTAGAAAGATATTGCTATTGTTTTACTGTGAATGAACTTTTTGGCTTTAAATGAACTGTCAAATCCCTTACTTCTGTTTACTTTGGCCCACAGCTGCCAGCACTTTGTAATTGGTGTATTCAGTACCTGCTTGTACACTCTTCTGCCCAAGAAATCTCCTTTGCAAGATTAAAATATACTCCCAGAGGTACAAATGCTCATAACAGTACTGTATGTTTATGCTTATCACCATCCTTCTGCATGATCTTGTTGTTTGGAGGTTTCTGTTGATCTCTTATAGCATCAGGACTTTTTCCTCCCAGTCCACAGGCAACTGTAAACTGAAACTGAACGCTAGATAAGAGGGACTATTGTCTTCTACTGATCAGAGAACGTTTTTCTTATATTTCTGCCTGATACCTCTGATCATACATGTAAATCTGATCATGATATATGGTTTTAGATGAAGCAGGCATTCAGATTAATTTGCAGAAACCAGCATGACTAATTTTCCTACTGGGATCACCTGAGCACAAATCATGTACAGGCCTATGGGATCCATGTTGTGCCATTGAAGAAGCTTAGGACAGCTTGATATTAGTTCTTTTAGAGAAAGGAGCACCTAATTTGATTTAAATTTTCCAGGGTGGCTGTTGCTACAAATGGTATGGCAGTGTCTTCTGATCTGAAATGTAATGCAAATTAAAGTGAATATTTATAATGACATTTCTGGAAAAGATGACAAAGAGAAAAGCTGGCAGTGAGGTTAGGTGTAACTGCATGTGAATGGCTCACTTTTTAACCATAATTAGCACTTGTTGTTTTAGAGCTACACGTCTGGTACATTGTAAAGGTGTGCAGGAAACCACAAAAAGATAAATATCAGCTTTGTTTGTAGGAGGAAAAGAAACAGGGCAGAAAAAGAATGTAACAACTGGTTGGTAAGGCAAAGGTGAAAGAAATTAAAGCCATAAAAACAGGAGTTATAAATTAAGGCAAGGGCTATGAGACAGACCACACAGCGGTCAGCTGGAGCCTTTCTGCTTGTATCAGGCTTTTAAAAAAAGAAAATAAAAAATCCTTTCTCTTGGCAAGAATCACATTTACCCTCACTCCAAACTGTCCTAATTGACTCCTTGTTGAGACTACTGATAAACTAAGTTTAAAGTATACTGCCTATCATAAATCATTGTATTAAAAGAATGCCACCAATTAATGAGCCCTGCTTGGAAAAAAAATGCATATTTTTACTGTGCATTTTGTTTCCATAAATACCTTTGCATTAGTGCAGTCACAGCTGTTTTGCTGTCCTGATTCATTCAAGCAGAGTGACTCTGCTGTTTGACAGAAAGAAACATTTCCAAGGTGATAGGCAGAAGCAGCAATGAAGCAATTACAGAAGAGAATTCAATGTCTAATCTCCCAATTTCTAAAAGAACTGTGAATATATGACCTGCCTATAACAGTTAAATGGGATGCTGAGTGAAAGTATTAATATGAAAGAATGAGTGACATCTTCTTAAAGGAGCCATTAAATTAGGCCTATATTTTTCACTTCCTGTATCACAGCTGAATAAGACATTTTAAATTCCCCTTCACCTGTGCCAAAATCAGAGCTATAGTTTTCTGAGTTTATTTCCATTCACAGTTTTTCTCTGGATTTGTCATGAAGGCATCTGTTATACTGCCAATAAGCTGTGACATTTCTTTTATGAAAAAGTATAATAATTGAAGGCTTAAAGGCTTTATTCTCATTCTGTTGGTGTCCCTGTTATTCATGTTAATCATTGTGACATGTAACTTTCCATTCAATTATATATTTCTCTTTAATACATGAATTTTAATTGATTATTAAGTGAAAGCCCATTCTCCAACAGGAGAGGAAAAATTATTTTATGTCTTAATACACTTCATTGAAAAGAGGTAGAGAATTCTCAGGATGGCATTAAAAATACCATGTTAAAAACTCCAAGAAAGTGTAAGATTCTTGATTGAAAACATAAGCATTTAGGATTTTAAAGTTTTTATTACTTAGATAGCATTTTTTTTTTGTACATGGGGAGTGAGCTATGCACCTTGCTAGCCAGTTTGGAAAGGTGTTCCCACAAGAAGGCTGTGTGTAAAAATGTGCCTTGGGTAAATATAGGGCAAAGAGGGTGATGAACAGGTTTTACTGTTTGTTTTCTGGATTATCAAGTTGACACTTGTACTGCTGATCATTTTTCTGATTACAGACAGTTCAAAGAATCAGCCTCCAGACATTTGCATTTATCAACCAAATTTCATTAATCACTTGTGGAGAAACAGGTCAGATGTTTTGGGAAGAGGAGGAGAGAAAAGAAAGTGAAGTGTGTCTCAGTTATCCAAACATAAACAACTGCATTGTCTGGTTTGATGTTCCACTTATAGCTAGTTGAATGTGCAGTAAAGTAAGGTGTAGTTGAGCTGTTTATTCTTAGTGAGGAAGTGTCTGTTTTATTTATTTTTAAATTTATTTATTTTAACAGTGCTTCTATGGCAGTAGACACCTGTTATTATAATTGGGTATTCTTATATAATCTTAGAACAATTTCTAAATAGTTGGTCTTACTGACAAATAGAAGGCAGCCATTTGTTTGAGAGGCATTCAGAAGGATGTAATTATCCAGGATATCAGACACAAAGAACTTGAGCTAGGCAAAGCTGGTTCAGGCATAGCTAAAGCTAAAGTAAAGTTTGGTTTTAAATTGCAAAGGTAAAATGTAGGTCAAAAGCTTGTTCTCATTGCTCTCAGCTGATTTGATCAACCTCACTGAGGAGTAACTCAAATATCATTTGGCCTTTGGTGTGGCCCAGTAGTCTGGGATTTTACAGCATTGCTTGGATTCTGGAGGCCTTAGTGAAGATTTTGCCAGGTCTAAATCAGGTAAATTGATCCCTGTGAGTGTAATCAAAGCTAAGAATGAGGCAAACTTCTTAGAGCAAGATTTTTTTATCTGGTGATTAGATTTTGCATAAACTGTGAAGGTGTTTAGAATTTAAGTGGTGCCTTTTGTCATGTCCCTGTGGAACAACACAGTAAAGTGTGGATTTGTTTCCTATGGCATGAGATGCCCAGAAGAAAAGAGTAAACATTTATTTGTGCACATGTAACAGTTAGAAATAAGCCTTGAAAAGTATTTAAACTGGAAGTCTCCAGAAGGAGAGCTCAAATAGTGCTACACTACAAATAAAGACAGCAAACCAGGATCACTATC